CTGTGGCTCGTTGTCCGTGGCTTGTCTTTTGTATTTAGTCCTCGTCTGAGTCAGTCTTCCCCAGACTCGTCATTAATGTTGCCTATCGTGCTTCCCCGGTCCTGTTTACCCACAATAAATCCCCGTTTTGCCTACTTCCTGGCTCCGTTTGCCTGCTTCCTGGATCTCCTTACGCCCGAACGTGACAATAATAATAATAATAATAATAATAATAATAATAACGTGAGAATCACTGAAATGATGTCAGCAGGTCCTTTTGTGGCAGGGCTGAAGTGCAGTGGAAATGTTTTTTTTGGGATTAGGTTCATTTTTATGGCAAAAAGGGACTTTGCAATTAAATGCAATTCATCTGATCCCTCTTCAAAACATTTTGGAGTATATGCAATTTGCCAACATAAAAACTGAGGCAGCAGACTTTGTGAAAATTAATACTTGCATCATTCTCAAAACTCTATGCCACGGCTGTATGCAGTCTTGTCTCCAGTTGAAAATCTCACTCGTTACCCAGTGCCTTATTTCATTTGCGTTGATAACTCCAATAAATATAAAACAAATATGAGAAAAACATTACGTCACGTTTTACATCTTTTCGAAATGATACGACCACCCATACCCAAATGTAATAGCGAAAGTGATCAGTTCTTTTGGTATTTATGTTAAAGGGAGACTTATTTTATTACCAGTGTGAGATTATCGAAACCAATACAAATACACTAAAATATGTGACAAACAACTGTATTACGGTTTTACGGCCTTTTTGGGGTGACAGGAACTCTGCTGCTATGAGAATTACTGACGGTCGCATTCTTTTCTTGATGGGTGAGCAGTATGCTAATGCAATGGTCCATTAACAAAACTAAAAGGTGTGATACACCAAAGTACGTGCTGCTGGCCGTTAAAGAAGGTCCCAGTGGTTCTAGTGTTAATGGATCTCATTACTGATACAGGGAGTTTTGATCAATTATTTTTATTTTTGATTATGTAAATAAATAGCGAGTGAAAGTTTATCTAGCCCTCATGATGCATCAAAGGTTATCAAAAAAGGTTAAGGTCACTTATCCTTCACCACAACATTTTTACCTACTACCACAATTGAAAGCCGGTTGTGGTGGAGAGCTGCGCTGTTTCGGTGATAAGAAATTGACCATAAAGGGTCATGCAGAGGACTTTATTTCCTGAATGTCATAACATGACAGCTACTTTGAACATTTCCTAGAGTAGGTCATGCTAATTTCATAGCTATTGCAAACTCCAGGTAGAGGTAATCGTATGCAATCGTATTTCTTTACAGATAAGCAGCTGTTAAGAAAAAAAGGCAGCAGCAAGGCTAGGCTGGTACAGTTCAAGGAGGAAATATACAATTTATACTTACTGGATTGGCACAGTCAGCTAGTTATATAATAATGTGTTGTTCAGGCTATACGGACAATGGGAGGAAACACTGAATCATTGCTTTCTTTTAACCAGATTGTTGATGAATCATATAAAGTGGACACCATCAGCTGCAGAGGGGAAAATGGCTACTTTGTCCTTAACATTTGATTTCCTGGAGAGGGCCTGGTAGTATTGCAAAGACATAAGGGATATCATTCCTAAACAGCTTCCTGGCATCTCCTCAGCTAGATCCTTCTGTGCTTTGTTTGACATATGGGCAAAACACAGAAGTCACACAATTGACTAAAGGTAAAAAAAAAAGCTTTACTGGCCAGACCGGATAAGTGCTGCTGTTCTTATGAGACTGGATTGTCATTCATTTCATTGGTACATGTACATAATATTGATTGTATGGAGTCTCTGAGTCTTTGGAATTTCTTGAAATCAGAATTTTTCATGTTGGAGATGCTTTAAAACAGGATTTCATGAGAATTGTTTGAAATTTGTTGGCCGGTTTCCAGCCACTTGTATTTAAATTCATAGTAAGTTTAGATATTCTTAAAACATTAAATGGAAAATGGTCTCAGTGCCTTTTGAAATTTTTCATGTTGAATCAGAATTTCGTGAAAATTTCCCAAAAGTGAGACATGTCACCTTATACTACATAAATATGCTGCAGGGTGCCTGTTTCCTTACCCTATATTTGTTCCAGTAAAACAGCGCAACTGATTCTGCGGCAGCTTTTGAGGTAGAGTATGGATTTGTGGGTCTCCGTGGACTAAACTCATCATGTTCCTGAGAAGCAAACGAACTGTCTGAATTAACAACAATGTTGTCTGAAAAAACAAACAGAAGTACTTGTGCACGTTAACTGCATTATTTCACAAATGTATAAAGAGTTTAGGCATGAACGTACAATCATACAAGTTATCAGTAAAAGTCTACACACAGGAACTTATTGACATTGTACGCACACCAATCCTGACTGAGATGCAGAAAGGGCTCTGACCTGCTCAGTGCTTTCCCCATACACCTCGTCTGTGCTCGCATAAATGAACCGTTTGACCTCAGCCTTGTGTGCTGCCTGGAGCAGCACACGGGTTCCCTCCACATTAACACTCTGGAACTCCATGGGACACCTGAAGGAGTCATCTACAAAAATAAAAACAATAAAAATATAGCTTTAACTACGGACCACAGACCACCAACAACACTCTGAATTATGGCCCAGTGAGAAGAGTTGGGGATCGCCAGTCACGGGATCCAAATTGCTCAGCAGTCTAATATTGGTGATACTCACCTACGTGCGACCGGGCAGCAAAATGAAAAACGATGTCAATATCTTCAGTCTCAAAAAGACAATTTATCAGATACAGATCGCATACATCTCCCTTTTAATAAAAATATAAAGGCAATCAGGTCACTTTCATGTCATTGAGATAATTTTAGATCCATACACCTCTTCACTAAATCCACTTCTTACCTGTACGAATTTATAATTTGTGCTGTGCTCGACAGCTGAGACATTCTTCAAACTTGAGCACTTATCCAGCTACAACAAACCAGAAGGTCCCATTAAAACTTGCTAATACTGATCAAACACCACAAGAAGAAATCGCAAGAAATAAGGAAGTATACTGCACATTTAAATAAAGGTGTATAAACTGTAAATTTGTTTATGTCTGACTGCAAGTCAAAGTCTTATATACCATATGCACTGTATAACAGACATCTGTAGATCAAACTGTTTGTGGTGAGGCTCAGGTTGTCCATACATAAACAAAGATAAACAAAATATAACAAATTAAGGGGCAGTGAATAAATTAAACAAAAGATAGATGACAAGATAATGTGCTGCAGGGTTTACAATAAGGCCAAATTCTAGCCTAAACATTTTCTCAAACACTTATTCGATGGAACCTTTATGGCTTTAATAATGAGGGCATTTAGCATTTATGAGGACAGATGATATAAAAAGCTCTCCATACTAATGGTAATTTAATAAATGTGAACAGACAACACTCAAGGCTGATTTATACTCCTGTGTTGAACTTATGGCGCAAGTACGGTTTAGCTGTGGACCCTTCACCAACAGCTTTCGCTGTAGCCAGCAATCAACTCAGGCTGTATGTTCATTCAATTTGCTCTGTACACGTTCAACTCTACCTAGACCCTTGCTCAACTTGGCACAGGAGTACATTTCTGTCACAATTATTAGCCAAGAGACCTGAAGTAGAATTTCTGATTGGCCAGTCTCCTCTCCTATCACTACACTTCTTGACAGAAGGCGATCAGAAGAGATATAGGTGGGGGGAGATGGAAAGCCCCAAATTATAATGAAAGTGGGCACTGTAAAAGGCCTACCATATGCCGTCTGAAAAAACTCTAGGAGTATTAGAAACAAAATTCATGATTTAGAGGGTTTTATTTCTTATGACATTACAGGAATAACTGAAACATGGTTGAGTGACAATGATGGAGAAGAATGCAAGAAGGGAGGTGGTGTTGCAGTATATGGAAAAGAAAACTTGTAGGCAAGGGAAATCACTGATAAAAATAAAAGTACAGAAGCTACATGGGTAAAACTAGATGCTAAAAACTCAAATGGCCTAATTGTTGGTGTTTGTTACATAGCACCTAATTTAGTTTCAGAGGAAAGCAGAATGATATACAATGATATCAGGATTATGAGTAACAAAAATGATGTGGTAGTTCTGGGTGATTTTAATTTACCTGGGATACAGTGGGACACTGGCTCTTCTATAAATGAACTTGAGATGGTGCAATTGGTACAAGATTGCTTTTTTTACTCAGTCTGTTAAAACCCCTACCAAGGGAGAAGCCATTCTTAATCCTGTTTTCTCTAATAACCAGGATAGGATTGGAAAATCTGAGGTTTTAGAACCACTTGACAGTAGAGATCATAACATGGTTAACTTCAAGGTTAATTTTAGTGTCTGAAGAGCAAAACCCAAAACAAAAATATACAATATCAGAAAAGTTAACTTTAATGGTATGAGACTGAAACTAGAAAATGTAAACTGGATGGAGTTAAATAACAAAACTGTTTTTTTTAAAAAGCACATTATTGCATGCGCAAGAGGACTTCATACCCGTTTCCAGCAAAATTAAATCTAGGAAAAGGCAACCAAGGTGGTTTATTAAGGTAGAAATTAAGGATATATTCAGGAGGAAAAGGGCTCTGGTCCACAAATGGAAAATAACTAATGATGTCAGAATAAAGCAGGAAGATCTAAGTACACAGGTTGAGTTAAAAAATAATATTAAAAACTCACTAAGAGGAACGTTTAAAGGAAGATTGCATTGGAGGCTAAGGATGACATTTAAAGTTTGATCCAACATTTTAACTCCAAAATAGGGCTGGTCCGAATACCATTTTTTGAGCTTCAAGTATTCGGTAGTGATCAACATCGAATATTTGAAGCTTCGGTGGGAGGGGGCTGAATATATTCTTATCTCTAATAAAGGCAGGAATCTCTCTGTGTGTGTGTGTGTCTGTTGCATTTTTATTTCGAGAACCGTTCATCCAACTGCTGCGGACGCAAGGGCGTGCAAAGTCGCATTTTTGTGTAATATATACACTCACCTAAAGGATTATTAGGAACACCATACTAATACGGTGTTTGACCCCCTTTCGCCTTCAGAACTGCCTTAAT